TTCACTATAAGTGTACAAGTTCATGATAAATGTGAACTGTATCACTTATGGATGTGATCCAGATTGTTGTTTAAATTGCAGAGAAGATTATGTGATTTATGCAAATCTATTTGTAACACTACTTGTGGGCATGTTTTGCTATAATTTTAAGAAGGAAGGAAGGAAGGAAGGAAGGAAGGAAGGAAGGAGGGAAGGGGTTTCCCAGCCATACTTTTAACAGATGGATTAAATATGGGAAGTTACTTCGGTCTGCTGAAAAGGAAAAAAAATAGCTTAGGAGTAACTGAAAGTCCCAAACAGTGAGCTAGCTTTTACCAATACTTTAATGGCCAAGTATAAAACATACACAAGGAATTTATCTTCGGTGATAACAGCAAAATCAACGGTGCGTTTGGATAAGAGCAAAAAAAAGATCACATGGTATTCAGCAAAGCAATGGCACGAGGGAAAAAACTATTCTGATGTCTGGATATTTTAACATAAGGAGCTCTATGGCGCCGTCCTGAAGGAAGAAGTTTCAATTTCACAGTACTTTTCCCCAGGCTAAAATGTGTTAAATGAAGCAAGCCCTTGCTTGCTTTTATATTTTCAAAGTGAGACTGGCAAATACTCTTTTTTTTTTTTTTTTGCCTTTGTGCAAATGAGATCTTATGTGCTTGGCATAAACTAAGTATTTAGTTTGCCAAAACTTCCTAAATCTTAATACTGCACTTGCTCACTGGAGATGGGGCATTTGCCAGAAATATCTTTCTCCTTTCTCCCTGTCCAACCCGGATTTTTTTGTTTCCCTTCAGTTTAAAAAAATGTTAAGTAACACATAAAATCTGATTCACAATATGCCTCTGCCTTCGTTTTAATAAACACAAAGTTGCTCACAATGACAAATGACTGAAGCCACTTTTCTCATTAATGCAGACTTCCCTAATCTGGTATTTTCTAGAGATACTGGACAATGATTCATATCAGTCCTCACAAGTATGGAGATGTATGATCACTTAATTAATATGCCATCTCATTTTATGGCTCTTGGTGGTTCATAACAATTATAAAATACAATAACAACTTCACAATAAATTGAAGTTCAAATTAAATTAAATTAACATTAAAATGTCATAATACATCCCTAACGCTGTCACAATTCATTCCTAATCCCGCCAGAATAATTCAGTTTTAATTAGCCTCTAGAAGACTATTAATAATGAGCGCAATTTTGTGTACAACAGGAAGCAATTCTAAGGGACTGGAACCATCACACAGAAACAATGCCTTTAGGCCTCAGACCGCTTACTAGCTGAAATGGGGCACTACTAAGAGTATCTCCCAGGAGAGATGCCTTGGATGGTTCAAATTTGGTTGGAAGAGATAGTCCCAAAGATGCCCAGGTGCCAAGTCATATAGGTTAAAACCAGCACTTTGAATTGTACCCAGAAATGTATTGGTAGTCAGTGGAGAGGCTACAGAATTACTATCACATGGTCATAGTATCAATCACCCACCAATACATGGGCCAACACATCCTGGACCAGTTGCAGTTTCTGAGTGATCTTCAAAGACAGTCCCATGTAGAGTGCACTGCAATAGTCCAGACATGAGTCACTGTAGCAAGGTCTTCCTGCTTCAGGTACAGCCATAACTAGTATACCAGGGGAGCTGGGCAAAGGGCTTCCTGAAAGTAAGAGAGACAAGAATTCTCCTGTCCATGTAGTAAACTTAACGTCAGGAAAATATCCCAGTAATAGAAACTCCAATGTGATGGAAAGAAGAGGAAGGAATAAACAAAAGCAGCAATAACAAAAATCTTTTCTAAATGTCCCCTTCACTGATGCCAACAAGTTGCAAGAAAACCTCAGGGGAAGCTTCATGTAAGGGAAGTTTCCACACATATACTGCCAAGGCAGTGCCGCTTACGCGCTTCCTTTATATGAATCAGATGTAAACATTTCTAAAGTGTTATCTTTTGAAAGACCAGTACTGACCCTTCAAAAAAGACACTTTTAGGTGTTTTGGGTATTTGTAATATTTGTTTATAGCTTCTAATCTCCCTCCCCTTTAGTCTTTGGTTGTGGTGGAAAGAAATAATGCCAAATCAGTAAGATATTTTTTTCCACATACAAAAATTATACTCCAAGCTCCTAACAGAAGGCCTCAGGAATGTGTTTATGGTCCACTGTTCTTGATACCTTCCATTTAATTTAATTTTTGTCCCTTAGTGTTCAAGTGAATTGTTTGATTTTAATTTTTTGTCCTGGAAATATACCCCAGAATTGGCTTTTCATTAATATACTCCTATATCTATAAACTTTCTGATGCCATGTAAAGTGACAGAAGAAAGTGACAACAATGAGATGAAATTATGAAGTAACCAAATGTAGCTTTTAGGGCTACAAAAAACCAGTGGAACACTAGATGGCAACAAGGAGGCACAGAAACATGTAATTTATGCTAGCCAGTGGTTCACCAACTTTTTGCAACTCCGGTCTGATAATTCTAGCTTTAGCAAGTATGTGATATCAGTAGTTTTGCAGCTGGAATGTTGTACTAGATAGTCAGATCCAGCAAGACTCTCAGGTTTTTATCTGCATGTACATTTGAAGAATCCTCAAATTGCCATTTTCCTGCTAAGGAAGTTACCAGTTCTTGTACCTAAGGATTCTTTTAACTACCCTTTCCATATATGACACCCTGCAGTTGTTTGGGGATAGCATCTCCCAGAATTCCCATTTGTACAGTCCTAATACATCTGGAGAAAGCCAAATTGGGTGAGGCTGATTAAAACATTGGTTGGCTACTTATTGAATGCACATTTAAGTTGTTTTTCAAGCCAAAGAACCACATAGCATAAATTAAACTATCCACAACTTACCTTCAGTGACAAAATAATATTAAATAGAATAGAGAAAAGCTTTATAGGATAGTGAACTATAAAACAGCAGTGGAGGGGAGGGAAAAGGTCTTAACACTTTGTCATTAATAGGGAACCAACTGGGCTGCCTCTTGACACCATGACAAGAAAAGCTCTGATTCATATTCTGACCAGTCAGACCTCCAATTGCAGCAGACCATGGATTCTAATGATGATTCAGAAGTCTAAGATGACCTCCATATCCAGGAAAAACCCATTAGTTACTAGATATCTCTGGTTACTCTTTAAACTGGGAATGAATGGAGGTAGAAGTCTCCGGTAATTTTCAGCTACCTATTTTGTAGAATAATAGCATGGGAGGAGGAAAACTTGTTAGATGGTCATGAATTGCCACAGGAAGAATAATCCAGAGATAAACCTATTTCCATAAAACAAAATACTACAATATGGAGATAAATCCTGTAATTTTTCATGTAGGAGTACATTTGTTTTTTTATCAATAGAATTTTTTTCCAGGGAGCTCTTCCAAGTGCATTAAAAACTATCCTGGGGGACATTTTACTGTAAATTAGTCATTTATAACTGATAACGGGCTGCTAACCTGAATAATGGCACATAACCTCTAACTGTATTGTGACACTCCCCAATACTTGTATTTTATTTATTTTTAGTCAAGCTTCATGTATATCTTATAAAAGCCTTGACATTTACATAATCTTATCTGCTTATCAACATAAGTTTTATATTATACTGGAGTTGTTCTTGAAAATGGCCTAGACATTTCAGTACAAACTGGTGCAACAAGAATATTGCCCTGAGCTTTGCAGAGAGCTAGAGAGGTGGCCTTGAAGCAAATACTTATATAAGCAAAAAGGACAGAAACATTCCCTATGTTCTGAGAACAGAGATAGTATTAAGAAAAGACTTGGGATGGCCTCTCCCTGGTTCGCTGGGCATAACAGGAAGGGGAGAAAAAGCACCATCAGACTTGCAAGATTTTGTTCTTACAGCCAATCCCAATAAAGGAGAATTCTAGTCTTCCTGTGGAGTTGATTTTCAGGTCTGGCCTATGCTGCGGGGCTGACAAGCATAGTTGTATTATCCCAGTTCTAGACAATAATCACTGGTTCCCATTCCTTCCCAATTCTAATTTAAGGTGCAGATATTAACCAGCCAGCCCTCCATGGCTAGGGAAGACCAGCTTCCTTTCCTTTAGGTCAGTGTTTTTCAACCTTGGCAACTTTAAGATGTGTGGACTTCAATTCCAGGCTGGGGAATTCTGGAAGTCCACACATCTTAAAGTTGCCAAGGTTGAAAAATACTGCATTAGGTCATCCTTGGGGGCCCTGCTGTGTGCGCCCTCCTGGCTGAGGAGCAGTCATTCACTCCCCTTGCATACAGATCTTGGCATGTCGACCCAATTGCTGTGCTGTTTCTCTACACCAAGCCAAAAGCTTTTTATTCTTCCAGACATTTTAACACTACATGGTGATTTTTAATGAATTTGCTTGATTATTACTTTTACTGTTTGTATACTGCAGTTTTAATTATAGTTTTGATATAGGTACCATTTATACTGTGATTTTAATTTGTTATCAACCACGCTGGGAATACCTGATGTGAAATACCCCATGTGGAAGGATGCAAAATAATTAAGTATGTTTCTTTAACTGAATACATCTGGCTTCCAGGTACACCTTTTTTCCTCCTTTGGGCTTAACATTGGATCACTGCCTCTGACCTGTGGAGGTTTCCTCCTTTGCTCATACTTTCAAAAAGTCTATTAAAAGGAAAATAGCCTCCAATTTTGAATGTAGATTTTACACTACAGAATACAATCTTTTATAGTTCTTTTCCTACTCACTCTGAAGTTGATCTGGGGCATGTGGAGCATGGCAGAGAAAAGAGGGAAGCTGAACCCCAAGTAACTTATTTAGAACGCTTTGGGCTCTAATCTACCATTTCCTTTTTCACACAATGTTCATCATGTTACATACATCATGTGTACATTAAGCATGATTATGAGAAGTAGATTTAATGTGCCATGTGTTTCTTACTGAATAGTCTTTTTATTTTTAGCGTACAGTTCAGCACTAATACATTGTTTAAATCTATGTCTCCAAATGCCCAAGAATTCTTTTATTGCAGTTACATGTGAAATTACAGTGGCAAAATAATTTTTGCACCATAAAATTGATAATAGAAACCTATACATCCAAGTTTGTTCAGAAGTAGATGTCATAGTTCAAGAGGGGTTACTGAGAAATAGGTCAGCAAACATGCCACAGGATAAGTACGTTTGAATTCTATATTACACATATAAGGGGTCAAATAGCATTTTAAATATGCAGAATTCTGCATCAGTATGAATAATAATATACTGTGGCTCAGAAATTACATTTTAGAAATCAAATAAAATTAACTGTTATGACTTAGTTTAATAAAAAAAATCAATAGGGCCAAAATACCTAGTATATACAATATATGATTAGCATATAAAATCTCTCCATAGACTTATATTAAACAACTCACCTGGTAGCCTATGGGAGACTAGGGACTGCATTTCACTGTGTGAACTGAAGTTTGTTCCAAGTGTCCTCCATAGCCAGCATGAAAACCAAGCTGACTGGCAAGAGAGAAATTAATGGGTCTATGCATCCCTCCTCCCTCAACTTGACAAACAGCCATTTTTTTTTTCAACTAGCCTGCTAAGAGGCTACTAGCCTGCATTTTCCAGCTTGACAGGCATTCCCTTTCTCCATGGCCAGCACAATAATACTGCTAGCCCCTTAGCAGGCTAGTTTTCAGAAGTCTGTATTTCAGTGGTTTATTTACAGAGCTCTTTGGCATGCATGTTACTGGCGCGCTAAGAACACACATCAAGACATTCAAACAAATGTTGTTGATAATAACCTTTTATCTTCCAAACATCTTTGTGAATACTTTAAATGATTTAGTAGCTAATACACGTTCTCTTAACTCCCAGTTTTGGAACAATATACAGTAATTGCTTGTGGGGGGAGGGGGAAGGAAGAGGAAAGGAAAAAGCAGTATTCTTCTAAGCACAAAGAATATACAATGCTGACAATTTAGATTCATCTCCACCCACCTGGTTTATATTACTGTACAGAAAAGTAGTACTTTGTAGTTTTCCCCTCTTTATATAAAATCCTTTCTCTGGGACAGTTTAGTTCTGGGATTTTATATGGTTCTGGATTCCAAGCAGAGAATTTTTGGGGAGTGGATTTTTATCCTTGAAAATATAATTGTTTATGTATGATCTATATGACGTAGGTGAATAGATTCAACTACAGCAATGATGGGTGCCCTGTTGGAGGGCCTGAAGGGCCAGATCATCTTAGACAGGGTCTATCTCTGTGGTGGCTAAAGTCAACACTCAGCCAATGGCACATAATCTTTTTCAAAAACTTGAACTTTCTTAATTTCCTAAGAACTTACCAGGATTTGGAGTATAAAATACTCCTGAGTTGCACTGACCAAAAGAGAAGTGAAACAAGCTTATTCCCTGTAAATTAAACAGCTGCTTTCAAAAGCAAACTATATTCTCAATATATTTTAAAATTAAAATAACGTTAATATATTAAAATTCATATTTTAAAATGTTATACAGCTTATTAAACTGTTTTTATTAGAAATCTCAGTTGTAAATATGGGTTGTATTTACTAAATTTTAAAACAGTTGTGATCCCCTTCTTTCAATCCATTCTATGTGTCACTTTGAATCTGTCCGGGCCTTGTTAATGTGACATTTAGTAAGATACACTAGAGGTTAACAACCTACAATGCTCTCATTCATTACATACAAAACAGAACTCTACTTGGTATGACAAGCCTTAGGAGAGTTTTTAATAGCTTTTTGGATTCTAAAACACTGAATGTGAGGCTCTTTTTAAATTTAATTTTGAAAAGATCAGTAGCAAACATTTTTAAATATCCCAGAGACAGTAGGTAAATAGATTTAAATATTGGTTAAAATGTGTTATCAAATTGACATATTTAAAGTGAAATCACAACTACTTTGAGAATACTTCTAACTGACATGAATGGAACATAATTCCATTCATATAAGCTGCTGAGTCTTTTGAATTGGAAAGATAGAGATATATTTAATAAATAAATCCAAATTAGACATTTTGGATCAAAACAAACTGTTAGACTATTTAATCCCAAGAAAGCATTCACAATTATATTCTGAAGGCTTGAATAATTGTTAAATTTAACAAATATATATTGGATATTTTTAGTATAAAGCTATGTTAAAAAGATATTTGACTGAAGAGGCAGGAATAAACCATTGAGCACACTTCTACAATTTTCAAATTCCATGGCTGACAAATTTTGGGAAACTTTAAAAAGTATTCTGGATACTTAATCAAATCATACTTGTTTTGCACAGCAGTATTTACATCCCCGAATGGTATGTACAGCCAAGTTATTGGGTAAGTTTAAAAAATCCTATTGATTGGAGTATCTAGTGCCCACCCACCTCCCTATCCCTGTTTTCTTTCTTATGTCCATCCCTACGTTATTGCTCAAGAAATGCAGCGATGATGGAGGAACACTATTGTAAAGTAAAAGTCATTATAAAAATAAAAAATAAATGAAATTAATTTCATTTTTATTACAAATAGCCAAGGATTTTTTTCCAAAATATAAATCTGTAAAACAATTGCATTGACTGTACAATTTCATTTACAGTATACAATCCAGAAAACATGTAAAAGAACTGTTTTTATACATTAGCCCTTGGCCACAAAACAAAGAGTTTGGCAGTACTACTACAACTTTAATGACTATGGGGTGAAAATCAACATATCAATTACATCATCTAACTTCATTATCAAAGTGGGATACATACATACATCATTGTACAGGGAATGTTTTTTTTTTTTTAACTGGAAACTGTCATCATGTTGTAGTTCTTGGAAGGGCTGGCTCTGCCAATTCTCCACTCCTCTTTACAGCTGCTTCTGCTCTCCAGAGCTTTGGCATTCTTCATGGCTGGCTCAGGGCCTTCGTAGAGGACGCAGATAGACCCATCTTCTCCTATACGATAGGACACCTCAAACGGGTCAACCCAGAGAGTTAGTTCGCTGGGCAGGAGCTGGAAGAGTCTCTCATGGCTTAGTCCAATCATGCCTGCTGCCTTGCCTATCAAGGGGTCCATCTTGTGATTGATCCTAATGCAGCGGTACCCAGAGCCTTTGGAGGGCATCAGGGGGAACCAGTGGTGCTTATAATGGTCTGCAAACAGGAACAAAGGAAAAACGGGAGAAGGGTTACAGCCTGCGCAGCCGGCCCTCGGGC